TCCCCAAACCCCAAAACCCCAAAACCCCAAAACCCCAAAACCCCAAAAGTACAATTAGGGCTAAAATGTGTAATTTAAATAAGTTAAAAAGATTTAAATATCAATCGTACTCTGTGATTGAGTGTGATCAAATGTAGAGGAAGATTGAGGGTTCATTAGGGAATATCTGCTCTTCAATACAAACAACTGGCCCATAGACAGAGTTATTGATATATGGGAGATTGTTTTGAGCTGGACCCTGTCTGACTCTTCCGAATTTATCGTAGACAGAACCATGGCAAAGGCAAACCCAACCCTTGTAGGCTCCGAGATAGGGCACGGGGATACAACCCAAGTGAGTGCAAATAGCTGAGCAGACCAAGATGTTTGAGTTTCCAGCATCTGAAAGTGAGGTCACTGATTGCTTATCGAGCAGGGTTGAGTCTGGGAGTGAGTTGGTGTCCTTCACCTCGGTCAGAGTAAGTCTTCTAACGAAGATGAGCTCTCCGTTCCAAGAGGTTTGGAGCACTTCACCTGGTGGGAGCTCTGAGATGTCAAGCTCCTTGTAGGAGTCTCTGATGTATCTGGTTCTGGTGATCATTTGCTGGTAAAGGCAGGTGATTACAGTCTTGACTCCGAGAACATAACTACTTAAGACGAAACCTTGGAGCATGTAAATCTAGGCTCTCTTGATTTCGTAGTCCTTTGACTCTTCGTTCCAGAGTCTATAAAATATTTATTTAAAATTATTGTAATGGCGAATATTGCTTGAGAGCGTACCTATTTTCATCGAACCAGTTGTCGACCTTGGTCTTGGTGTCAATGGGGTCTCCGAAGTTGGAGGGTCTTGAAGAGGTAACCCAGAACTTGGCTTCCTCAGTGCAGAGCACGTTATTGATGAGCTTCTTGTTCTTTCTCTCATTGTACTCTTGGATAATTCCAAAGCTTCTCTTTTATTGAGCTATATTTTTGCATAAGTTACATGTTTTAAATACAGGCTATGCTTTGATTTCAAATCGAATCGTTAATAAAACGTCGTTGTAATTCACAACTTACCGGCAAGGAGTTATTGCTTAGCAATTTGGTTTTTCATAGAGGTCCAAACTAAATTCTTAGGCACGAGCATCTTCCCTATTTATTTAATATTTATAAGAATGATATAATTTATAACAATAATACACCCACCCATCATTACATTTTATCAATATATTTTAGATGGCTGGGGTTTTGGGGTTTTGGGGTTTTGGGGTTTTGGGGTTTTGGGG